CAGTCTGTGTCAGTGAATAAACGGGTATGTATGTTGGCCTACGGTACTTTTTAATTCATTTTTAAAGGCTCTACTTTTTCCATCGTTGTTCAAAGAGGTCAAACAAATTTTCAGTTTTTGTTTCAATCACACAGTGGTGTAGAATAGGCCTAGTCTTTTATGACAATTTTCCAATAAAAATTAATGTTTGATGCGATCCTCAGTTATGGAGAATTTTTAAATAAAATGAGGTAATTAAGAATTTAGCCTCAAAGCCTATCTTAATTTTGTTTGTTACGCCCCACTGACCTGGCTTTAATAATTTAAAAATGTCCACCGATTCGTTCATTTTCAGTTCAATTCAATTTAATTGAATTCACTTTTACAACAGTAGCAGACATAAGACATGTTATATTATATGGTGCATAAAAAAAAACAAAAAAAAAACAAACAAAAAACAATACCTTAATACAAAACATAAAACCATCTAATTATTAAATACACACTCACTACTCTTGCAGCAGCAGTGCACTGAATGACGTCACGCATGTATCGGCGTTTATATTGGCTAATCATGACGTAATATCATTTACCGTACCTTTAACAATCGGAAGTTCCGATACGGTACCGTACGTATCTCTAGCCACGGCGTTAAAAATATTGGCATCACTATTTTCAATGCCATCATAATTGATATCAAAATGATTTAACAAAACTGTGCGATTGGATTTCAGTTGGCAATCAACGTGCTAACCATAATATGCTTAGATAGAAGTGAGCTCACAGAGCACATGGCTAATATTATAATAGGTAGTAACTAGAGTTGGCAAATCACACGAGATTAACAAACCAACTTCCACAAACATTATAGTAGTGGAGAATACGGCAATAACAATATAGACAAGAACTGATTTCCTTCAATAACTATACAGTGTTAATGAAAGTTGCACAGAACTTCTTATTTCAATGTCTGTATACAGGTCAGTGTTAAAATTAAAACACAATTCCATATTCGTTCAACTAATTAAAAACTCATTCAACCATTCAAATTAAACAAACAAACAAAACAAAGTAATATTTGCCATGACATACCTTTAAATATCACCCGGACACAAATCAATAAATATTAGTTTATGTTTATTTTATAATACATTAATTAATGTATTCTTTTCCTCAGAGCAAATATAAACCTCACCACAGACCAAGACTTGCAGTTCACCTGCTGTGAGGACGTATTCGGTACACTTCAACATACTATCGACGAGTTTATGGATATCATGCTAGTTCAATGCTCAGTTTCCACCACTGACTCGACCATAACCACAATAGCTTTAGCTCTTTAGCATCCTTAGCAAGTAATTACTCACAGTTGCACACCAAGTACTTCTAAACATTAGTTTAGTGCAACAGTAGTCTCTTCAAGCACATAGTATACGAAATTGCCCTATGCGCTTCACATAAACAAAAAGGAAAAAACTACTAAAGTAAACAGCATGTTCTACTTATTTTTTAATAAAGGTTATGTTTCCATTATAAAACATGTGCATTTGTTTCATTTTGTATCTTGTTCATATTCAGACCAAGTACAAAAAATTACTAGTTTTTCGCATTCAGGCCAATAATATTACAGTATGATATATGTAGCCTACATATAATATATTAGCAAATACATCATTATTATTAATAACTGATGAGGATGATGATGCTAATTAATTATGATTTTGATGTTAATGATGATGATGATATTAATGATAATGACATGTTGATGATGAGGATAATAATGACAATGATGCTGATAAACATAATAATAATGAAATTAATATTAATCACTTTTCTCAATTACTTCATGTCAAAATCTTATTCATATGTACATATATCATGTACTGGTATATATAAATTTGATGCATAAGCAGAACAATATAAAATCAAAACAAGGTGACACTTGGTTACAAATTCAACATTTTACTGCACTACAGGCTGTTTCATGAGGTACTTCTAGCACCTGATGATTGCCCTTCTACCACCTGATTATTGCCATGATTACATACGATAAAACTGAAACTATCTGCTCTTAAGTGTGTTTGTCATCTCAAATTAACACGAGCACTCCCTCGTTAGTTGCCATGTCTACATCATCGAAAATACAGTAGTGCAATATTTTACGAATGCCCGCATAGAACCTTGGTCCTCGCAGATGTCTGGTTAACTGTTTTATACTTATCTGCAACTTCATCCAGTGTTATATTCTTTATTAACTGTTGTGCATCTTCATCAAGTATCATCTATTATTTCATTTGGTTGATCATAATTATCATTATGTTGCTTATTAGATAATAACTGGAAATGTTCAAACCATTGTGCACATGAGATAGTTGTTTCCCCATATTTTTTAATTTTAAAGGTATTCCAGAATTGTTTAAAATTGCCATGCAAATTAGAAATAATATACCCTTAAGGCCAATCAGACAGCGTCGGCCGACGCAGCCCGACGCGATTTGTTGTCACGTCGGGTCTTTGTGAGTTGAACGCAGACGCGATGGTGTGCGTCGAGGGCAGTCGCGTCGTAGAATATTAAACATGTTTATTATTTCTCCCGACGGCTTAAGACTGTCCCCGACGATAAATCGGGGCGAGCTGCGTCGGCCAACGCTGTCTGAGTTGGCCTTTATTCTTATCTCATAAGACTTTCTTAAACTTGATTTTATTTTTGTATTTTTTTTTTAGTATTTATGTATGTATTGTACAATTCATCATTTCTAAATTTTCTAAATGATCTCAAAGCTTTATCAGTAAATATTCACTGGCGATTACATAATCTATTAGACTTTTGCCTTGATGGCTCACAAACGTGTATTCTCCTATACCCTTATCATTTCCGATCATCCCGCTGGTTTAAAATTCGCATTTTGGAGTTCTTGCACAGTTCGATTAATTCTTTACCCTGTCTATTAACATTTTTATCCATTGAGAATCTTTCACCTGTGTATAGCTCAGGTGGGTCATTTAAGTCTAAATATTTAGAATTTGGAATACAATATCTTTGAGATCAGCTGTCCTACCATTTAGTATATTTCGGTTAATTTTTCTAGTTTTATTTATACACCAATAACCTTCTATTTTAGACACTTTGTCCTCCCTTGATAACCAGGTCTCACTAAGAAAAATTATATCATGTTTTTTTTTAAATACCGGTAGTTGACGCAATCTTCGTCTTCTAATTTACCGGAAATTCCATGACACAATGGCAATACTGTCCGACCTTGGGCCTTGACCATCCCTCTATTTCAGCTTTACGACTTTGTCTTCTGGTTCCTTATTTGTAAATATTGAGTTCCCGATATACAGCTTATCAAACTTAAGTTGCAATTTCTTCTTTTCTGTTATAGCTTCCTGGATGTTTCCTTATATTTCTCAAGCGTGAAGTATAGTCTTCATCGATTCATACTTTCTGTTTATTCTCGTATGCGCTTTCCTCTTTGTTTAAACTTCTTTTTCTTGCTTTTCTTCCTTAGCTTTATACTTAGAGAATTTGACTTATCGGTCAGGGTGTGGCTTTAGTATTTAACCGATGTGCCCTAGCGATTGAATCCAAGTGTATTCCTAAGCTTTCTTTTACAACATCCTTTATTTTCTTTTCGCAATCCGTCGATATTATGTTGTCTCTGACTTTCTATTCTATCAATCTTTGTTACTAGATTAGCGTTTATTGATTTTAATTCTATATTTTCCTTTTCGATTTTGTCAATATGGTTATTTAAAGTATTTACTTTGCCTGTTAGAGATTCCAACGATTTACTTATGCTTTAAACATCTTGTTTAATTTCCTTCCTCATATCTCGCATTTCGTTTAGATTATGTTTTAATCGATCTTATTGGGCATTTTGCTGAACAGGTTCAGCAAAAATAAAGTACCTTGTCTCTTGGGTCTGGGACCAGGATTAAGCTCTACGTCACCGGAATTGATCAAAATACATGCTAACACAAGCCCTATTGATATACATAGACGCAGCTGAGACCTCGGTACTTTTAGACCGTGAGTGACTGATCGTTTTTTCCTTGGTTCCTTATGTGTGTTAGCATCCTATTCTCAATCCCCAAACGTCAATTGACATCATGACTCCGGAGCAACATACCCCGGTACGGTTCAGTGCACCAATAGTGTGCGATACTAATTAAAATCAATACTAAGATAATGCAAGCTTACGTCACTACGTTTACTGGTACACCGACCGCCTTGACTGGCTTCGTTTCAAGTATCCCGCTCTTAGGTGAAATCAGTATCAAAGTACGACTTCTTACAGCAGTATATGTTGAAAATATAGCGCAAGAATCACATTCTTAGTATATACCAGATTGTAGTAGAATGCAATTTGATATTTGATGCAAACCATAAATAAAGATATTTTTTGATATTAGGTAAGTGATGCCGGACAGAATTCCAAACACGTCGTCTTTCTTTGGCGCCCTCTATATCCAAGCGTCATAACCATAAAACCACAAGAGGTCGCAGGTTCGAATCCCGTCGGAGGCATTTTATTACACAATTTCTTTATTCATTTATTTATAAGACTAAATTTGTTGTCCTTTATTCGAATACTGTATTTACCTTTCTTTGACCTTTCTAAATAATTGAACAGTGTTAACGGCAATCTTGATTTATTATATGGAATTATTTGTTTCTAGCCGTACCTATTGTATCTGGCGATATTTGATCTGTTCAACCATTGACACCCGACCACGCCCATTTGTTCTCGTCTGGGACCTTGCCTCCCAAAAATTGTACCTTCCCCTTCAATATTCCCCAGATTTCAGATGCAGGCGCTGCTACTGCCCGTCGGACAGGCTTGAACCCCTGTCCGACGCCAGGACGAGGTCATCAGATGAAAAATAAAACAATGTATAATTTGAGTAGGGATATTTGCATATTGTGCATAGATGTCTATAAATCCAGTGACTGCAATATTTTGTTTAAAATGCCTATAAGATCCTTTTGCTCATAAAAGTACATTATTTTATATTATATATTCTTTTTATATTTTCAGAATGGAGTCCATACTAAAACGAATTAAAGACAACAAAATAGAAATTGTTCGTTTTGAACAAACAGACATGTTTGGTATATCAAGATCAAGGTTAATTCCAGCTCGTCACTTCAAGTCAAAGGCAGAGAATGGTCTTAATTTTTTCATAGGGCATTTGGGTGCAGACTCAATGTCTAACTTTATTCCAGGAACTGGATACAATGAAGAAAAGGGTTATGCTGATGCCATCATGTTCCCAGATTTAGATACGTTCCAAGTTATCCCGTGGTGGGAAAATACTGCCAAAATATTGATAGAGCCGACGTATGAAGGAAAGTCTGTACCAGCTCATCCAAGAGTCGTTGCCAGAAAACAACTAGAAGAACTGCATGAGATGGGATATAGTCTGCTCTCAGCTCATGAGCACGAGTTCTATGTTGTCGACGGACACACGAGGAATCCTGTGGTAAATGACTACAACGCTCAATCGACTATAAGAATGTACGAGTGTGCTCCGTTCATCCACCAACTTGTTCGAGATCTACCGAAAGTAGGAATAGATATCGAATGTATTGAAAACGAATTTGGACCCGGACAGCATGAAATCACGTACAAACCATCGTTTGGAATTAAAGCTGCTGACAATGCTTTTACGTACAAATGTTCCATCAAAGAAATCGCAAAACAGCACAACCTAGTGGCAACTTTCATGAGCAAACCATATGATAACGCAAGTGGATCATCGTGCCATTATAATCACTCTTTGTGGGATGTCGATGGTAAAAAAAGCCTTATGCTCGACTCTAGATCTGACAAGTTGTCTGAAGTTGCTAAATACTGGATAGCCGGTAATTTATATCATGCAGCAGCACTAAGCCTACTCATGGGGCCGACCATCAATTGTAGAAAGCGGTACAAACCTTTCTCATTTGCACCAACAAATGCAACATGGGGATATGACAACCGCACTTGCGCAGTCCGTGTGAAGATCAATGGAGAATGTACTTACATTGAGAACCGCATGGGTAGCGCAGGATCGAATCCGTATCTAGTACTAGCAGCTACAGTTGCTGCCGGAATTGATGGTATAAAAAATAAATTGCCACTTCCTGATAACGTCACTGGATCTGCGTACGTGCCTGAAGACGTTCCTGATAAAACGTCAGAAATACCAACTACCATGGAAAGTGCAGTTGAAGCATTCGTCCAGGATGAAGTCATGAGGAGAGCATTTGGCGAAGAATTTACCAAGTGCTTTGTCGCAATCAAAGAAAGCGAAATCAAGCGGGCAAATAAAGCAAACTGTAGCGGTATTATATGGGACAGGAATAATTATTTTGAATACCTCTAACAAGAACTTTGTAAATATTATTAAGATGCTGAGCTCACCATCGATTTGATATTACTTCAAAGAAATATTTTTTGAATATTTTTAAAGAAGTTTATTTGTATGATGCTAAGCACATTTTGAATTGTTATTATTACACAGGACATTAATAATTATTTTCAATACCAATCGGTCAATACTAATATGATACTGAACTCACCTTATGCTATCTCAACTTTTGCCTCAAAAATATATTATAAAGAATATGAGATATATATATATATATATATATATATATAT